TTTTAGATAGTAGCCATTAACGTGGGCTACAGACTGAAGAGACATGCTAATACCAGACGCAAAAGCTAGAAGAACAAGAGCATGTAGTTGTAAGTATGAAGTGTGACAAAAGAGAGAGAAAGATGGGGAGGGAAGATCGTGTGGAGAATGGGAGAGAATGAGGGATGTGAAGATAAAATGGAAGGAAAGTTGGAGCCACCCGCGGCTCTATCTCTCTTTTACAAAGCTTGTTCCTGGTTGATGTTTACTTCATGGATGTGAAATGGACGCAGGGTGGACACATGTAATCTGACCGTATGTTTACACCAAAGGACATCATCACTCCTTGATAGTTTTTGGATGCTACTATTCAGATTATACTCTTCTACCCACACAAAGTTAATCAAAAGGTCAACAACTTTGATTCTAGTTTATGACCTAAAGATTCTACTGATTAATGGAGCCACGACTACATAATCTAGAAGAGTGAACCCTAGGACTTGAAGTGAGATTTAGAGCATCTACAATGCTAGCTTTTTTTTTTTTTTTAAGTTTATTACTATTAATTTATGTTATACTGACCACTTATTATTATTGGAGTGTAAAACATTTTTGTTTATTTTTATTGACCACTCAATATATATTGTGACCATTCAATATATATTGAGTGGTCAATATAGTTTAATCATTTGTACAAATTACCCCTTATCTTCTAACTATATTTTATTTTTTCCCTTAATTATATTTTAGTTTTAACTTTATTTATTTATTGACTAGTTAATTAATTCTATAAAATAATTAATAACATTTTATTTATAAAATATAAATTTATAATGATAATATTTATTAGAATAGTTTGTATTAAAATATGATATGTGGTTAAAAATAACAAATTAAAGGTAAGGTTTATATAGAACTGAAAGAACCCCTTTCTATATTTTCATATTTCTGAAAGACCCAAACTTTCATATTTGACAATATAGTTACTCCAAAACATGCTACATGCATATTTATAAAATAATATTTTACATTGATAAAGTCATTACAAAAGATTGGATACAAACCGACTATGTTTTAATATTTTACATAACTACCCAAGATATTGTAAATCTATACAAACATAAACCAAAATACAAAAAATACTATTACAACTATTCTAAACCTTCCAACAGTATATGACTATACTGGTTACTTAATCCCTGCAAGTTTGTTAAACATTGAGAGGGTAAGCGGTGACGCTTAGTGAATTCAATAATAGATACAATATAACGTTATGTCATATATATACTTCAATATGGCAGAAGCAAAGGGGAACAAGGAACAACAAAGGCATATGAGACATAACAAATTTCATACTTGATATATATAATCAATAAAGTTTTGGCCCAAATGGCACAGAAGCCATACAACTTCGGATTAACATTTTGGTAGATTTCAGGCTTATAACATTGTCTAATCTTTTGCCAATACCATAGAATAGAAATCATTCTCTTACGGAGACATGTTCTACATGGCCAGAGGCTACATACCAGTACCAAGATGAATCTAAGTCCTTTCACTGATCACATGGTCAAAGGTATTTCTTTTGCTATTAAAAAGAATAAATAACGAATAAAAATAACACGGAAGATACTCAGGAATATTATTTTGCTAGAATACTTAGGCTTTCAGCCTTATCTTAGAATACTACCGAAGCCAAAGTGATGCATGTGTCATACACTTCATGGTCAACGGTTCATACCAATACCTAAGTGATGCTTATGTCATACACTTCAAGTCAAAGGTACAGCCTTGCTATAAAAATAACGGAAATAATAACTCGAGATGATAACATGGAAAAGCACATAGCACATATAACACATGACATACAATTGTTCCTATATATTAAACTCACCTTGAAATAACCGGGGGTCAAAATAATAATTTGTGCAGCATTTCGGCTCTAAATATGACTTTATTTGTTGAAAACCGGGCCCTGCGAGGGTTGGGCTTCGAAACCGAAAAGATAAATTTTTCGGGCTTCTCGGGAACTTCGGGGCGTGTTTCGGGCATTGGAATTAATATTGGGGCTTCGGGGGAAGTGGAAGAAGAGGAAATATAAGTTTAGGGGTGAAAATTGCCAAATTTGTAACTTTTACCCGGGAGGTCTCGCACCCCTTATATAGGTGCGAGCCTCGGATCCGAAGCGAGGGAGTGAGGGCAAGTGTATGCGAGGTTCGGACCAGGTGGCAGCAGGGCGAGGCTCGGTTCGGACAGGCGTGCGCTTCGGATTGGGCCACATCCTCGGTCGAATCAGGAGGCTACACGCGGGTCGGATCACGTGGGGCGCATGCGAGATCACGTGGCTTCGGACACCTGTGCGACACGCGTCGCTTCTCGGACATGCCATGCAGCAGCTTCGGACACGTGGCCAGCTCCGAGCGAGGGTGACGTGGCAGCACTATTCATGCGAAATTTTCTCGAAAAATGTGCCCAATCTTGTAAAATCCATAACTTTCTCATACGGACTCCGTTTTTTACGTTCTTTATATGCACGTGTAGATAAAATTATTCTCTACAACTTTCGTTTAGACTTCGTCGGAAAATTTTGACTTTATTTTTATATTATTATTTTTAACAGATCGGGACTGGTAAATTTGTTAAAAATTCATAACTTCTTCATTCGACGTCCGTTTTCGTCAGACTTTTTACCGTTGTACTGCTAATGACGAGACCTTCGATTCTCGTTTAGGTTGTGTTGGCTAAAAATCACTCGATCTAAAATTCGAGTTTTTAGCTGTCTACTGCTAAGCTGAAACTTGTAAAAATCATAACTTCCTCATACGAAGTCAGATTTTGGCGTTCTTCTTATCGAACTTCTCTGTTTTACGAATACTACGACTTTCATTTAGATCACTAAGGCCAAAAAGTAGTTTATCAAAAACTCACTTTTTACGTCATTCGGCACCGTGCCGGTTTTGTCGCGGATCTTCGATTGGTCATAACTTCTTCGTTATAACTCGGATTTCGACGAGGTTTTCGCCTACATGTTTCTAACGAGATTATCTACAACTTTCAATAATAAAATTTTACTTATTTCAAATTTTATATTTTCGCTAAATTTTACTATTTGGTTTTTAATTGGAATCTCATAAGACTTCCAATATTTTATGAGTGATTCTAAACATAGTTTTACTTTATTTCTAGTAAAAACTATCTGTTAGAACTCAACACTCAATTTCACATAATATTTCATAATATTTTTAACTTTTTAAATTACATAACACGATTTCAAAATGTATATGTTACAAGAACATTTTAAATAGATAAAGATATATCAGTTAAAGTTAAAGAAAAAGCTATGAAAAGAAGTTAACCATTGGAGAGATCATTTAAATAGAGGTTAAAATTAATGAATGATGAGATGTCAATAATAATAAGTCATGTTATAAGCTAATCATTGGAGATGCTCTTAAGGGTTGTTTGTTTTTTTGAAAAGATTCATAAAGTCTGTGGATCTCCTCTGTAACCCTCTGTAGTAGAAGAGGTAGACCAAACGACCGCAAACTGTAATAAGAAGCGTGTTTGTTTTTTTAACATCCGCATGTTGTTGCAGATATTAAAAAATTAAAATAAACTGATTTTATAAACTGAAATAGTTTTTTAATACCGAAAATTTAATAATGTATGGCATTTCAGCAATAATTTATTATATTTCAGCAAAAAAATAATGATATTCAACAAAAAATAAATATATTTTAGCAAAAAATAATGATATTTCATCAAGAAATTATTATTATCTAATATAAAAAAACGAAAAAAATCAACAAGAATAAACAAAAAAAAAACAAAAAAAATGTAAAATAAGATTTCAGCAACATATAATCAAGATTTCAGCAAGAAAAAAGAAGAAGAAGAAGAGGTTGGAAGAGGCAATACAAGTGATGCGCGAAACAGAACACACGCAGAGGTTTTTTTACTCTGAAGACTTCTAAAAAACAAACAACTGCGAGATTAAAAGTGTTGCGCGTGTGCTGCGTCGTGCAACAATAAGAGGTCTGAAAAAGTTTTTTACAAAAAACAAACAGCACCTTAGATTTGATTTGAGAACTAGTAGGTTCATATACCAAAGACAAAATTGCAAATATGTCCATGTGGTCGTCAAAATTATGTGTTTTTGGTTCAAAAAAGTTTGGTGGTGTATTAGTGATCCAATTTTGAATACCTTGTGGTTTTGGTCCTTAGGCTGGTGAGTGTGGGCTCGGCGAGGGGCTCGGCAATCTCGGCGCACACCGGGCCGACCCCTCGGCTTACCGAGCTCGGCTCGGTATCTCGGTTAATATATGCCGAGTTTTGTTGACCAATGGGAAAGTGGGGTAGCTAGCAACGACTACTTCCATTTAATTTTTCTTTAAAAAAAGCCTCCTATAAATACTACAACTTCAAACCATTTTAACTCATCAACATCAACTTACAACTCAAATACACTCTCTCAAAATGTCGTCTTCGTCATCTTCATCGGACATGTTTGATGTCTTGCTTGAAACAACTATAAAGGTTACTCAGGAGGCGGAGCAGATGATCGAACAACTACAAGAAGAAAATGCGGAGAATGCACGGCGGAGGAAGAAAATATACATACAAAGATTTCGTGAGGCGGCTAATGATCGACTCATGCAAGATTACTTTGTGGATGACCCAAATTTATAGGATATTATTTTCGTCGTCAGTTCCGTATACATAAATCTCTGCTTTTGTGTATAGTCAACAACGTCATGGCAGCGAGTCCATTTTTTCAACAACGTCGAGATGCTAGAGATATAGTTGGTTTTACTCCTATACAAAAATGCACCGCTGCACTTCATCAATCAGCGTATGCCAATTGCCCCGATGCACTAGAGGAGAACTCTAGGATGTCCGGACGTGTTGCACGAACTAGCCTTCACAAATTTTGCAAGTATGTCATGAGATTATATGGTCCACGATATATACGCAAACCTCCTTGTAGTGGCATCCAACAATTGTATGTTCATCACTCAAACATGCACGACTTTCCTGGAATGTTAGGAAGCCTAGATTGCCTCCGTTGTGCATGGGGTTGTTGTCTGAATGCCCATAAAGGGCAATACACCCGAGGCGATCATGGTTATCCAACCGTTATACTTAAAGTGGTGGCGTCACAAGATATGTGGATATGGCATGCATTCTTTGGCTCAGTTGGCTCCCTTAATGGCATCAATGTTCTTAACATGTATTCGTTACTTGACGACATGTACAACGGGACTGCACCAGACTCCTATTTTCAAGTAGATGGAACATCGTATAGGAACGGGTATTATCTGGTGGATGGGATCTATCCGGAGCGCGCTTGTTTTGTGAAGTCATTGTCTTGTCCAAATGATCGGAAAAGGTTGAAGTTTAAGAGAGCTCAAGAGCGGACGAGAAAGGATGTTGAACGAGCATTTGGAGCTTTGAAAAAACATTGGCATATTCTTAAATATCCTGCGTTGTATATGGAGGAGAAGAAAATGAGTGAGGTGTGTTTTTGTGAATATGTACACTCATAAGTGTGTATGTGTGTGTGTGTGTGTTCTGAAGAATAAGCCAGATAGAGATAGAGAGGGGGTGGGTCATTTTTTAATTTTTAATTAATAAAAAATAGTATCATAAATTAAAAAATTAATAAACAAAATTAAGTGGTATAATAGTCTTTTTAAGTTGATAGGGACCAAGACTAATAAAAAGATCCAATTTTGGACCATTGGTGCACCACCAAAAAAAATTTGGACCAAAACCATAGAATTTTACCAACCACAGAGACCAATTTTTGCAATTTTGTATATACGAAACCCATTTACTTTGGTCATTTCCAGTTCTAAAGGTTTGAAACTGATTGGAATTCGTTGCTAATATTCATAAAAAAGAAATTAAATATCCTTTTATTTTTTTTCTACTCATCTTCCTACTCATACAAAATAATTACATTTTGAATCCACTAATTATTTCTCTTAATGCCCTCTTTTGATTGTTTTATGGGAAATGTTCCACAATAGTTTGTCCCTTACCGAAGATAGTGGTTGGTACAACGAGCTAACCAACCCTTCAACTAACATTCGACATGAGCTGCTTAAGCACCCTTTTAGCCTAATCTTCGGTGTTCCAACAAGGAACAACTAACCACAACGAGATCTTTACCTAAAAGCTTCCGATGCGAGGACAACACATACATTAATGAAGACATTAACCTAACAACAATTAACTCTACCCTCATGGTCTGACTATTCCTTCATTACTTCGCAATCAAGAAATATTTCGACAAATCCCGGATCCAAAAATCCAACATACTTGCACCGCAACCTCTTCGGATCCATTGCACTGAAACCATAAAAAAACCCCACTATTGATCCTCCAATCAGAATACCCAACTCTCCCATACTTAGGGTTCAAACTATCATTGGTTGACGTCTTCCACATCGAAGCCTAAGACTGGATCAACTTGATACACTCCCATCATGACCTTCGGTATGCAGAAGGGCATATGATAATTTCCCGAATGATGACCAAACAATCATAAAGAAACTTTGAACCTTAGGTGGAGACTTAAACACCTCGAACGTTACGTCTCACACACATAATCACATAATCATAAGAATAAATAATAAAATCATGAAAGAAATAAATACGATATGTACCAACAGCAACATCTGACGGAACTCGGGTCTCCTCGGCAGTCAGATGAAACGCTCGGTTCCTCACCATCGGAGCTTCCACACTGCCCTCACAACCATCAGTAATCCTTAGTTACTTGAGCAGGTTCCCTCGCTGCTCCACTCGTCAATCTCGGGCATTCGGCCTTCTTGTGGCCCATCTGGTGTCACACCCCCGAACCAGACGGCGGAAACGTCTGGGGGCTCGTGTGACTAACAATTGAATAATCATCACAATGAATATAAATGAAACATAACATCATCATTACCATGCATAATATGATACAACTGCCATTGTTTACATCAAGTACAATCTTTTAAATAACATGACCAAAACATTCAATGTATGATGTTTGACAGTACACAAAACAAAATCCCCTATTCTTGTTGATTCTTCTGCTTAACGAGTCCCTGAAAATACAAGTTATTTTGAAAAGGTCAACATATATAATGTTGGTGAGTTCATAAGTATATTTGAGAAAATGATTTGTATAGCTTTGTAATCACAAGAAAATCATGTATTTTCTTAAAATAGTTTGGTATGTTTATGTCAGATCTTGTATTAATGCATGTGTGTTATTGTTTAATAGAATGTCAAAAGTGATTGAAGAAAATGTATATAGAATGTTCCCGGACAACCCGATGTTGCCCGTAAAAGAAGAATAGTTAATGTTGTCGTACCAACACCGAGGTGGGTACTAGTGTGAGAAAGTTACCGAGTGATCCAATCATAACAAAAAATAGATAATGTTGTCGTACCAACACCGAGGTGGGGTACCAGTGTGAGTAAGTTTCCTAGTAATCTAACATAAAATAAAATAGTCTTCCGCAAACTTCATAACGTTAATTCCTCTAAGTGAGCCGTTATAACCATACTAAATAATGAAAATTTCACCTGTCCTGGCGTTTGTGAACGCCGACTGAAAAATAGAATAAGGTTATAGTCACCCTAGACTGATGTAGTCTAGCTGTAGCGAACAGCTCAGGTGTGAGGTGTCACCCCCGTATAGATCTATACACAAAACCCCGCTCTCCCTCAAAGAGACTCTGATTATAACTACATGCTACGATCATACACTTAATAGGTGTCGACCGACAAAAACTCACTAGATCCTTAATCGAATTTACGCGAAGATAAACGTATAAAACTCATTCCAGGCCCAACGAACCATGTAAGTGAGCCACTAGGGCATCGCTAAACATGTGAGTCGTTTCAAAACCTAATATGAATGAGATTATATAACATGGGCCCAAAATATATATAAAAGGACAACTAAGGCCCATTTCACATGTAAGGTAATTATAGGCCCAAATAGCACGCAAATAGTATACGAAACTTATCAAACATATAAACGGGCCACTAAGGCCCAATAACCTAGAAAATGATCAAAATTAATCCGTTTGTTAGTTTATTGTTGATTTTGGTTCCAATATTCACTAAAATAGCATAAAAGGCCCACTTTTTGTAAAAATGATGTTCTTGGCCCAATAAGCCAAAAATTTACAATTAATGCCCAATTTTTGTAAAAATAACACCTTAGTCCCCATTTTGTTCAAAACTTGTGTTTATGACTAGTTTGTGGTAAAAATAACATTTTAAACCCATTATTGTCAAAAATATCATTTTTGGCTTGATTTTTGTGAAAACACACATTCTTCTGGTTTTGGGCTTTTCTGACCTAGTTGTTGGAAAATTTGTAGAAAAATCATCGTAAGTCGAAATTTGGATCCGTAAATTCTTGAAGTTTGGAAATTTTGTCTACTTTGCTCACAATTTTTCTCATAATTTTTAATGGCCTCTAACGAGTGTGAAATTGCTCACCTTCACAGACTGGTACGAAATTATTTCAAATCTGATAGGCAGTTTTGTAAAATTCGCCAAAAAATTGTAGAAAAATCGTATGAAAACGTGAGAGTAATAATTTTAAAGGTATAAACCTGAACTTTTTTCATGTAAAACAGTTTTGAAAAATATTATCATTTAGGTGGTCAAAACAGTTCGAGATTGGACCAAAACTCTTCTGTCAAGGGCTGAATTTTGAGTTTAGTTTATAGATCTTTGAACACAACACTCATTTTTGCTATTTTAAGTGTATAAATCCCAGATCTACTAGTTTACATGTATTATATGTGATAACACATACTTTTCTCAAGGTTTTCCATGTAGATCCAAGTGATAAACTTAATATTCTTAACATATTTTTAGATTTATGAAGTAAATAGCACATAATCAACAAATAAGTCATGAAAAACACACATATTCATGCATAGACACATAGATCTACATAAAGCAACTTGTATTCTCCCCCAAAACCAAGTAAAAATAGAAAATAGGGGGTATGAACTCACCTTGGGGTGATGGATCGGTTTTGATGAAGAAGTGGAAGAAGATTTTTTATCCTAGCAAGCTTTCTTGAGTAGATCTTGAACTTAGATGGTTCTAAGAACAAGATCACGAAATTGCATGAGTTAAGAGGAGATTTTGAAGTAATCAAGAAACTAAACCATGGATCTAAGCAAAAACTTACCAAGGATGATGATTTTGGTGAAGAATCCTCTTGAAAGCACCCACAAATCTCGAAATTTTGATGGAAGAAGGAGGAGTTCTAGAGAGTGTTTTGAAGTAGCTTGAAATGAGAATGGAGGTGGGTGGTGGGTGTCTTGGCCGTGAGTAGAAGAAGGGGGGGGGGGGAAGAGGAGAGAGATTTGAGGTGATGTTGCATGGAAATCCACCATGCAACAATGAGGTGTCAAGGGAGGATAATCCCTCTTTTTCCTTTTTTTGTGTGTAAGTAACTATATGGGCCAAGAATGGGCTAAAGAGAATGAAGAGGAAATGCTTTGGGCTTCCTTGGCTTAGTTCGAATTTATGAAGCCCAATTGATATTTTTTTCGGCCCATTAGTACTAATGGAAACATTTATGGCCCAACAAGGCCCATTTGGGATAAAAGAGCCCTTTTAGGTCCACATGGCCCAAAATGCTAAAGTTTTATGAATGTGGTCCATTTAGAGCCCAATTAGGGTTCCTAGGCCCAAAATGGTGAAGTTGGAGATTTATTGGTCCATTAGACCCAATAAGAGAGTCGTAGTCCATAATGAACTTGAGCTGGGATTTCTAGGGTTTCCAACCCTTATTTGAACATATGAGATATATTTGAATGAGAATAAAGTATAGTATTCACTTAGAGTACATGCTTTTACAATGGATGATGTTTACATGGGAATAGAATTTCCTAGCAAAATGCCAGTTGTGACATCTGGTTGCAGTGAAAACAAACCGAGCTCGATCCCCATGGGCAGCCCCTGCTGCTATGACCAATATCACCACACTTGAAGCAGCCCATACCTCCTGACCGACATACACCATCATACGGTTTCCCGTACTTGCCGTAATGGCCCCGACCTTGATGGCCTCTAGCTCGTGAATTGATAGTATTGGGCTTCTTCATTGAACCCTCTGTTGACCGAACTGAAACTGACTTCCACTTCGATCGAAGCTTTGTCTCAATCTCCTGCTCCCAGACTCTGGCTATCATATCCTCCAAGATATTACAACTCTACAGAATCACAAATGCCACAAATATCATCCCTTAACACATCACGGTACCTCGTCTTCTTCATCTCCTGGTCTGCAACATACTGTCGAACCAGTAAATCCCTCTCCCTGAACTTGGCGGTGATCTCCGTCACGGTGTCTGTCGTCTGGGGAAGGTCCTGAAACTCCCTCGCCAACTGTTTCCCCTCAATGGCATGTGCAAACTTCACCCTTAATCTCATCAAAAAAATAGATCCAAGTCATGGTTGCCTTGGCCTCAGTTCCAAAGGAATGACCAACCTCCTCCCACGACTCGCGGGCTCC